ACAAATCTAAGATTAAACAAAATTCATTCAGGCCAAAACAACACTTCTCTTTACAATAAATAACAAAATATGGTGTATTTCAAGCATGGTGGCTGACAAAGGAAGATGTTATTCTCCTGTCATGGCCATGGGACTATGAACCATTTGAATTCCAGAAGGATTTGAATCCCTAGACCTTCATAATTAAAGACCTAGTAATAGTCTTGCTAACTGTAGAATCTCAGTGCTTCGTTGGTAGAGCATTGGTGTGAAGAATCCCAAGATCTGAGGTTAGATTCCTCAAAGAGATTTTTCCTGTGTCCCATGCTCAAGATAGGACAAACCATCTCTTTCTACTGAGACCTTCTATGCCCTATTGCTGCACTACAGAAAACTTTTTGGTAAGCAAATACTATATACAGCAGTTTCATATGCAACCAGGACACAGTGCTGCAAGAGTCAGATTTTTTTTTGGTCTCAAACTCCTCATAAGCAATCAACACTTTCCTCAAAAAAATTCTCTTGGCTTGTTTCCCTAGTTCATAATTCCTTGCTTCCACTGTCATTCCACTGATGCAACATATGTTGCTGATGCAACTCGTTTATGTTTTTACATAAAAATGTTTTACTAAATAAATATCATCATTTTCAAGACGCTTTCCTTTAAACCCCTTTCAATCAAAACTCACTATGCACAAAAATTAGCAACTGACTTGTAACCTGATAACTGATAATTACAATTTCCTTGAAATAAATGTACTAAGTTTCTAATCAGCGTACTAAAAGACACATGGAAAAAAAATCGAAGAAATCTGAATCATCTGCACACACAGTAAAACAGGTTTACGCACTGATCAATGAGGTACACAATACATGATAATCGAAAGCCTACACGCATGTTAAGTGTGCATTTTACACCATGACAATCGACAAGAATCTTGTTTACACAAACAGATTAAGAAATAAAATTGAAGACATTTCTATACGAAATCATCCCATTGACAAACAAAGAGTAAAGAGCATATTAAGTAGTAAGAAGGGAGAAATTATCGGGACTTTTTACCAAAAGTCATTAGTTAACTGCATGCATCCCTCAATATCGAGCAACCAACATTTTACAATCAATCAGAATCAATCTCACCCATCCTCCATGCTGAGCAATCCAGCGAGCAATCCGCTCGTTGAAGATAAAATCCACCACAAAACGTATGATTCTACGTAAAAAACTTCCACTAAAGCCTCTGCGTATGACAGTCACAGCAATTTCGTAGCCAAAGCAAAGTAGAGCAACGACTCTTCCCCAATTTATTCCCGTACGAAACAACCTCCGAGCGACTGCGGCAAATGTCTCGTAAGCCGTTGCTGGTGTTAGGCTTAATGAGTCTATCATATCCTTGAATTGATCTTTGTATTTAGCATCTATTTCATCACCTATCTCTCCTAGGCGTCTACCAATAACCGGTACATGCTGTGAAAATGGATGGATATCATTGCAAGAACGCAATTCTTCCAGTGCGTCGGGACGTGCGCTAGCCGAGGGACTATCCATATCACCATGTTCTTCCCCTCTTTGTGTCTCATCCTGAAAGCGTTGGAACATAAAATGTCTGAAAATCCCTTCAGTATCTTGGAATACAGTTCTCTCGTCCTCGTTAGGCGGAATATCCTGATTATTATCATCTCCTCCACCTGAAGCCATTTTCCCCCAACCACCAGATTTCGAACCTTCTGAGCACACTGTGCACCACGCCAGCGGAAACTGTCAAAATGATTCCGTAGCACTACTCGGGACGCTTGCGTGCACCACCCGTTTAAGAAACCTTTCCACCACCCTACTTCGTGTGAAGTTCGCATGTTTATTATTCAGTCAAGCTTTTAACCCATTTATATGGGTACTGCGAATGGAGTTTGCTAATCACACTTCTGCTGTCAAAACTTAAAAACCTGAAGGCCTCTTATGATCCTAACTCTGAATGACTTTTTAGGGACTTTAAGCAGTCAGGACGGCAACGCCACGGAAGACGTCGATTAAAAAACGAGTTTCTACTTTTAGTTAGAATTTCGAAAATGGCTGCATTTGTTTACCGTCTCATAGGGCGCAAGACCTCGAACTCAACATAACGCATAAAAGTAGCGTTGAGTTCCAAATGTAAATTAAAATAACTTGCCGCCGCGGCTTAGCTTCACAGACGACGCGAATTTTTGTGATTTCACGCTGTTGTTTTGCAAAGGACGGCTAAGAAATGTACAAAGTTTGAAAACGCACGTGCTGAGCTATTGTTCTGCCAATTAGATCTATTGTTTTTCCACGTTCTCGTTGCCGTAGCCGTCGTGGTTTGCTTAAAGTCCCTTTTCTCACAATACTTCCAGCGTTATTTCTCATTTAATTTGTTGTTACCTTGTTCTCCCAGGCTTGTCCTTTGGGATTCCCGGATGGTTTTCAAAGTATACAGAGATTTAACCAGTATATCTTGGATATTTGTGACAGTTTGTGGAGAAACAAAGCTTTTATAGACAGGGACAAATCATTTTGTTTCAGCATGCCGAGGTAAAGTTGTAATATCGAACACTCACTGAATACGATTTTTCGTCGGAAAGAAGAAGGCATTTAATTTTTTTACGCGCCGGAATAGTGAGGCGTTTTATAGTTTTGTAGTCTCATTCCCCTTTGTTAACATGTGTCTGGGAATTTAGATTTGAACAGAACCTCCTGTGACCCTTCCGTTGGCCAAGGGTAACGATAGCATCGGCGGCGAATTGGATAAACTGAGGGCCGGTTATTGAAACAAAGTTTAACCATTGTTCAGTGTGCTCTTAACAATCTTAAATCAAGAAAAAATATCACACATACGTCAAGGTTTTGTCAAACTGTTAAAAGGGCTTCTATTAAGCTCTAAATTAAATATTTAATTATTTGAAAAACCCCACCTCCATTGGTCGTAAAAAACCGCGGCCCAAATTAGACCTTGTTTCGTTTCAATAGCCAACCCTGAGTCTTTTGTTAATTTTTAGTAGTGCTTATGAAAGGTACCTTTGATGAACAAGTCATTTATTAGCACAGGAGATCAACCCTTGCACAGTATAAACAAAACCTGAACAAGAGATTTGAATGGTAAATGTTTTAGTATTTATGATGTAGCCCAAGGATAATCCGCCACATTTTGTTTTCTCATCAGCTCGGTGACAGACTCCCTTGATGTGCGTCATATGAACGAATTGTTTTCAATCCATCATCATCTATCTTTGGCAGGGGAGGCCTGGAAATTTCTTCATCAGGTTCGCTTTCATAAACAAAGAAATTATATACAGCATGATAAAAATCACAATAATCATTTTAGTCACAAACCAAAAAAGTAATCAAAGTCTCTCTGATTTGTCTATAAAATTGTTCCTGATGTATTAACACTTTGGTCACGATTTTGTATGATTTTGTATGAAGCCGTTGGAACCATGTTAGATTCTGATATATTAACTAATAACGCATGAACTGTATACTCATAGCTGGGTTCTAACAGCTGTCGAACATTCATGGAGATGAGAAAAACAACTTTTACGTCGGTAGTTTACCAATCTGCTGAAAATAAATTTTTCAAATTATCTTTTGAGTCAATTTATTTTTAATGTTAATTACAAAGTTACACGAGTATTTTATTTCTTTTGTTCATTTTCAAGCAAGTCTGCTGAAATTTCAAATTGACATTTCGGCACTCGTTTTATTGCTTTTGTTTTTTTTTTTTTAAATCACTTTTTGTTTCCTACCAGACTCAGCCAACTGGAATGAAGCTGACACCGAGTCTTATCAAGGTAGATCCAACTTGCCAATATTTACAGTTTTCATTCATGATGTGCCATTGTATTTCTGGCGCTGAAAATCTTCTTGTTGGATTCAATTTACTCGTTATGTTTTTCTTTTAACCTTTGACCCCCTAACATCAGAAGGCATATTTTCCATACTGTTCTCTATACTTTTCCTTTGGTTCTGACAAGGAGAATTCGTTTAACAATCAAAGCGTCTTAGGTTGGCAATAATTTCCTTTATCACACGACTCGGGAAGTCAGAGGGCCAATAACTAAAATCAACCAATCAAAATGCTCTATTGCCGGTCCAATATTCTTTAAGTATTGGACCGGGCACTGTCCCGAATGGTCCCGAATGATACCACGCTTGTGTCCCTTTGAACTTCAGTCGTATAATAAATCTCTTATTAACCAAGCTTGCTCGGGACCGTACTGGAAGAATATCGGCCCTCGGTCTTTTTTGTACGGACCTCGCCACGCTCGGTCCGTATTGTCAAGACCTCGGGCCGATATTCTCCCAGTACGGCCTTCGCGCTTGGTTAATAAGATATATTTATTCTCATTATCTTAATGGATGACCCAGTGCAGGCCACTACTAGGTTTAAAGAGTTAAAGGGAAATTAATTTTCACCTAATTAAAAGACCAATTTTGAACGCCACGATCTCACTCTTTGCCACTCTTTAAAATTCATTTCCATTTCGCGGCACTCAATCACCAAATCATTTTGTGAAAAACATTTAATAGATTTAATAAAGTGTCAAATGAACGATTTGTTTTATTGGGGCCGGTGGGAGCGGGGAATGTATAACTTTTTTATAGACAATTTTGGAGGAGAACTCGTGAAAAATATTCCGCTCTTCACCTGGCCCCGGTTGTTTGAAGGTTGGATAACGCTATGCACTGGATAGATCTTTGTCCGGTGGATAGCGCAGCACGTTTTGCCATCACTTATCCACTGGAGAGAGACTTATCCTTTGGATAGTGTTATCCGCCTTTTATACAGCTGGGCCCTGCCTTGTAGGGCTGGTTACTTTCCCCGAACTTTGAGCATTATAACCCTTTTTCTTCCATAGGGTCGCTCTAGACGTGCTTACATGGAGTTTCTGAGGCAGAGAAATTTCAGTGGAATCCTCGTATTTTTGGAAACATTTATCAGAACACGTTCGTGACATCAGCTTGCAAATTCCGCAGTTTGACAATCGTAGTGAAAACTACAAACACGCCACTTTTAACCATGGCCTTTTTAAAAAGCCGGGTGACTTCAAAACAACAGAATCCAAAATCGATCTGAAACTGCACAAGAGGCGACAGCCGTCAACAAGAAATAGAAGTGTTTTGGAACTAGAATAAGCCTTATGTTCCTTCATAAAGGGGTGTACTCCGCAGCTTACCAGTTTGAATATTCTAACTGTACTTAATACACTGTCTGGTCTGCCTATGTGACGTCATGAAAAATAATTTTATTTTTCATTGTTTTTGGATTCTTATTCTTCTCAGAAATATGTTTAACTGTATCTTGTAGACAAGGCATGGTTATTATTGTTACAACAACAAACAAGTCAACTCATCATTAAAAATGTTCTATTTTTTTAGTGCAATTTGCAGTGTTCCAAAGGATGACTATGAAGCCGAAATCTAAGCTTAAAATGATCAACATAATCAATCCATTTTGTTTAAGTGAACAAATAGGAAAAACTTGGTGACTTAAACTATTTTTAACGCCAGAAAGCAGCGTAAAGAATCACAAAAAAGTTATAACTCGTCTCTTTCGAAATGCAAAACCTGGAACTGCTTCAGAATATTTTTGCGTTTCTCGAATTCATCTGCCTTATTAGGGTGCAATGGACCGGCGATCAAGCGTTCCAATCGATCAATTTCCTCGCTTATTATACTTGCGCCGTAACTCATCACGCGAGTCATTACAGACATGTAAAAGTTAGCCTCGGTTTGGAACTTGTGCCTGAGGGCTTTCATTTTGGCTTCTTTTAATATTTCTTCTCGCCTTTTGTAGTCTTTCATAAACTGCACGGCTATTTCGTTGAAGTCATCCAGGAGGCCAGCCTGTTGAAAAAACATTTTTCAATAAACTCCACTCAGCTCTTAATGGCTAACACTGTGATGGCGTAGTAATTTAAGTTTAAAATTGGGTCGATAGAGGAGCGAACATTTTTTTTATAAGAAGATACGTGTTAAGTTACCTCGCGAATTATCCATTTGATAATTTATTCGTGAAATTCTGACTTTTCTTGTAAAGTTAAGCCATAAATTGCAATCCAACGAAAGTGTGAGTATAGTTCTTGCCAGGTGAATAAACCTTTCTCAAACGCCGGACGCTATATCATTTGTCTGTACTCAATGAAACCTGCTAAAAAATCGCTAAGAATCATTTTTTCATTTCCCCCGGGTTTTTATTACTCTGACGTAATAGGAAATTTAACTGCCTTTTTTCAGGGGATTCAAAAAGACTGGGACGAAAGCGAAGCAAATTTCTTCGCGATTCCAGAAATTCTATAATCCTAAATGCTCGTTATATTGCATCAACTGTCAAGAAGGCACGACCTCACTGGACAGGGGGTTAATGCAAACATGATATCTGCAGTGACACTACATAAGCTTCGTACCAGCTGTAAAATTCACCTTAGTTGCAGCTGCTTTAAATACTTACCTTTTCGTTCAGTCGTCCTTTCAGTCTCCTTTGAGTTCCACACAAGGCATTCATAAACGAAGTAATATTTTTCTCGCTGTAGCTTTCTTGGTAGGTTCCAGGCTCGTATATGACTCCGTCCTTGTTGTGTTGGGAATATACCTTGAAAGTCGGGTAATGCGGAATTGTTTGCTGCACACAAATCTGAGGCTCCGCGTCGCAATCAAGTCGGCCAATGAGACACTTGGGTTCGTTTCTAAACGTGACGCCAACATCGTGAATCGTGTTTTGTAAAGTCTTACACAGGTCACAGTTGCCGTTGTAGTAAAGGACCAGGATGCTCCGCGCCCTATCCTTGACGATTCGTTCAAAATTTGTAGAGCTCAGATCAATGACTGGCGTGTGGAAGATGTCTATGTTGAGGTGAAGTACGGATTTGGACCGTATAAAACGGATCATATCAGCAGGAAGATTACCATTATTGTAACTGAAAAAAAAAACGCAACGTCAGATCATTAGGCTCGGATTTTTGCTAAGTCAGGTTACATTTATTGTTAGAACCTAATTGACAAAGGACTCAATTTCAATAAATTTTCAAGACAGTGCACATGTTCCTCAGATTTCAACGAAACTGGCTTCCGTTGAAACCTCTTAGTTTTCTTGATGTACGCTTCCCAAAGAGTTAAATCCGTTAGACGTTGTCACAATTGAGCCAGTTTACCTAACTATCACTGACAGTTGTCTTATTTCCTTCTGAAATATCCCATTCTATGCCAGCAAAGAAGAAGCACATCTTGACTTCGTAGGACAATGTTCCAAAGGTAAATAAAGCCGTCTTCATTACTCTATCTGCGCGAAGACGCGCATATAGTCACATGTACAGATGAACCGATCGAGTGAATGGCTCAGCTCGCCACTGATAGAGTTCTTTGTACCTTGGAACCAGATTTTTTCTTTATTCTCCTTGGCGTATTATTTCTTAGGCAATTTGAAATAAATCGAACAAAATACTGTATCTACTCACGTTTCTTCAGTGATGCTTCCTTTTATGAAGTAACGAAACGCAGGGTAGTCGTCCACCCAATACCGCGTAGCCAGTTTAATTTCTTCATAAGCATTGACTTTAGCGATAACCACATCATCCGCACGGCTTGAAAATGTATCTCCGACCTCTTCATACCGTTCTAACAGCCTCACGCATTGCTCGTGCCAAGGAGCGTAGAAAAACACGAACGCAAATTTTTTCCCATCAACGAATCGGTCAAAATTAGCAAGAGTGAGTTCCTTGACAGATGAATCCTTCTTTGCTGAAGTTAGCACAGTGTTCAAGAAGACGATTGCGAGAAGGTTAAGGCGCATGTACATTTTCTGATGAAATGATTTTTAGTCGACGAGTTTCTTCAGTGGAATACTGCTGTGGCCGTTTGGAACGGAGAATTTTTCAATGTATAAATCCTGTAACACAGCTGTTACCTTTTTTCTCAGATACTGTGACGATGTGGCAGAGAAAATGAGATATCAAGTCTTTCAGTCTATTCGTTGTCTAGAATTGGACCAATAGTCTTAAACTAAGTCGCACTTCTGTTTAATGAAAGGCTCTGTGTCTTCTTAGGATTACGTGTTACTCTGTGAAAAAGAAGGATTTGTCCACTAAGAAAACCACATGTGTAAAATCTTAATACCAATTCATTACAATACTGCAAAACAGCTAATTAAACAAGCGATAGATTTTACTTTCATGTTGCTCTGAACGACACGTCATTGTTAAATCACGATCCTGAAATTCCTCATGACTTTTCATTGTTCGCTTTGTTACTACTATTGATAATATTATTTTTTTAGCAGACTATCGTTTTCATTCCAGGTTTCTACTGATAAATATTAAGTAGTTCCAACTATAAGTTACTTTGATCTTTATGAAAAGACTTCGGAGGGGCCGATTTAAAAATTTTCCTCAAATGCCTACTTTGCTGATGAACTGACTGATTTCAAATGAGGTCCCATTCAATTGCTGCAGTCCTAAATCTGTTGCGATTGTAAATTAATTGTAAATCAGAGTCCACGGGCACTGTACTAGCAACATACGTCAGCTCAGATTTAGCGATGTATTCGACAATCTATAGAACTTACTACAAAAGTTTGCAATCTTTGTGACAACACAAGAAAATAATCAAAACCGGTAAAACCTCACTCATAGACTAAAAGAAGCAATTTTCGCGAGAAATTTCCGTACTATAAATATGATTTAGTTTCTCCCTTTCCCGTGCAGTTCGTCTCAGGTTTCGAAATACTCCATTTATGTATCTTGTACCGCTGAAGCAAATTTCGGAGCTGATGATTCACTGATTCATTAATATTCCAGCTGTATTGATTCAACAGGCAACTTTTTTCCTGAATGACTTTATTTCCACTGTAACGTTTTCGAACGTTTGCGGTCAGCAAAAAACCAAGAAGCAGCCTTAAAATTGAAGCATGCCCCTTCCCGTCATTCGGATTAAGACTTTGCTACAATGTACCAGTCCCCTACAACTAACCAACCATTACACGGTTACAGTCCTTTTCCTGCTCGTCCGGTTTATGGCGAGTTTCCGGCGGACATTTGTTGTCCTTATTGTCAGACGAGAGTGTTTACTATTACTACAAAGGAAGATGGAAATCTAACTTACTGTGCAGCCAGTTTGCTGTGTTTTATGGGGTAAGAAATCCACTTTAGATCTTTTAAATGAAGGCAAAGCCGAATCTGTGTTCAAAACCTTTAGACTTCTTTCTTCTTTGTTTCTTTGCAATCTTCTCAATCCTAACCATTGTTATTTATTTGTCTAGCCTAACTCATTGTTATCATTATTATTATATCAGATACAATGTATATATGAAGTTCATATATTTTGAACTGCGGTATTAGATACGTATGATGCACGATCCTCGCAGTAGAGAGCGTTATTTATGCAATAGCGAAGATCAAACTTGAAAAAGAAAAAAATCAGGCCTGTACGGGATTCGATTTTTCAGGTCTGATTTTCGCTATTGCATAAATAGCGCTCTCTACTGCGAGAATCGTGCATCATACGTATTATTATTATGATTATTATTATTATTATTACTATAATTCATTCCCTTAAATGCACTTGGATAGAATGAAGCATATAGATAGACCTATGAAGCATATAGATAGCATAATTTGACCTTTTCAAACCCAATCTAAAACTAAATTCTTCATTCTATCTGCCATACATTCCTCACAAATTTAGCTTCAAGAATTTGGTGTTTAATCAATTAGTTTCCTTCCTAAGTATCCTCACTAACTATTTAACAAATGGTAAACACCACAGCGTACACTATTGAGTTATGGATGCACGCGGGAGGTTGCTAAGCACGAGAGAAGCGTAAGAGTCGCTCGAGGCGATAGCCGAGAGCGACTCTAGCTTCTTGAGTGCTTAGCAAACCTCCCAAGTGCATCCATAACTCAATAGTGTACGCTGTGGTGTTTACCATTTGTTTTATAACATAACATTGATACATTGTAGCTAAAGAGTTCCCTTTTATTTAACAAATCTTACGCGACCTGAAAAGACAAGCGCGCGCGTAAAAATAGTCTTTGCATTTGCTCACGTCAGCAGCGTACACCCATGGGCAAATGGGAGACGCTAAATTGACCAATCAGAGTGCGCGCTTTACTTTGGTTATGTTATAATAATATCATCATTCTTTCTTCGCTGAAGGTGTTGGTTTGGCTGCTGCCTCATTCCTTTTTGCATCGACTCTTGTAAAGACATCATTCACACATGTCCTAACTGCAGAGCACCTGTGGGGAAATTCAACAGGCTGTGTTGACCATAGAGAAGTCTGGATCAAACTTCAAAATAAAGAAATGACAACTCCACGTGACATGTAAATTATTCCAATGATTGTAAATCAGACCACTGAATAATCATCAGAATTTGATTTCAGTTTTATTTCATAATTCAAGCAGGCATGCTTTGTCATTAATTCTGGTTTGTTTCCTATAATGCCAGGAAAGAATCCAGACTCTTGCCTCAAGGTCTTGTTTATTGAATAAAGGCTGATAGTTTCGAAACAAAATGTTTGGGGCTGCGTCGGTGGGGGTAACAAAATAATTTGGATATATCAACAAAGTTGAACTGGTAAATTGGCCACCGTAACGATTACAAAAGCTGACGTTTCGAGCGTTAGCTCTTCGTCGGAGCGAATAGAGGAATTGTGGGTTGTGTGTGCTTTTAAAGGCAGAAAATGGAGCTACGTTATTGGTGGGAACATGGCAACGAGAAAACAAGAATAAATTAGTGGAATGAAAAGCATTCGTTGATCCCTGTGGGATTTAGACTGCCGGTTTGAAAGATGAGCTTTTGTTCAAGATTTTTACGGCTTAAAAAGCCGTAAAAAACCTTAAAAAGCCGTAAAAATCTTGGACAAAAGCTCATCTTTCAAACCGGCAGTCTAAATCCCACAGGGATCAACGAACGCTTTTCATTTCACTAATTTATACGTTTTTCTCGTTGCCATGTTCCCACCAATAACGTAGCTCCATTTTCTGCCTTTAAAAGCACACACGACCCACAATTCCGCTATTCGCTCCGACGAAGGGCTAACGCTCGAAACGTCAGCTATTGTAAACGTTACGGTGGCCAATTTACCATTTCAACTTTGTTGATATATCCAAATTGTCTTGTTTATTGCTTCAGTTCTATGATCATGGGCTGAATTAATCATCTTAAAAAACAAACCCATAAAAAAATGGTATGGGAATCAGTATGGGCTGACTATTCAACTCCTACAGGGAGTCAGGCAGTTGACAATTGCAGGGATTTTTTTCAACCTTTATGTTTCACGTACAAATACATGTTTGCTAGAGGGAAAAACTGTAAAACACAAAACAAGTCAAACATGCTTCTCCTTAAGACAATCAAGTTACTGATATCTACCTTTCATCCAGATACAATTTAATATCAAAATAAATACTGCTTATGTTTATAGAGCAAATTTATTTAAGAAATTGTTGCATTTTATGCACCATATCATTTCCAGACCCTAACAATTTTTTATCTGTAGCATGTAACATGGATATCCAAGTAGCTTTCAACAAATATATCATCTACGATAAATAAATCTTTTTAAGCCTTTCCTTCCCTGTCAAAAAAAATAAAGCTATTCTGACTGACAAATGCCCACAAGGCCAGATAAACCATTCCTTTCCACCAACGGATTTCAAGATGTCAAAAGATGTGCCATGTTGCCTAGCAACACACAAGTTTGATACTGTGGGCTCAGCCATATTCAGTGAAGGTACCTGTACTTGGCCTTGTCATTTTTTTAAATAAAACTCAGTTGAAAACATCATCATGACTAAGATATGTGTCAGATACATTCACAGGCAGGCCTCTTTTCAGTTTGGCTTTTGTTTTCACTCTCTCTTGCTCTTCTTTGGCCAGTTGCTCATCTCTTTGTAATTCAAGAATATCAGGTACAGATACTTCCTCCAGTTCAGACTGAGCTTCCTTTTCTTCATCCTTAAATAAAAAATTAAGTGTACATCACACATACAGCAAGTCCCCTTTGCAGCCATTGTTTGGTCGCATCACACAATAGGCTTTCTCTCCCTCTCTGTCGGTGGGGGAGCAGGGAGGGAGGCAGAGGTGGGGGAGCAGGGAGGGAGCAGGGAGGGAGGCAGGGGTGGGGGAGCAAGCATACTACCCACAAAGGTGTCAGTGGGGGAGCAGGGGTGGGGGAGCAAGCACACTACCCACAAAGGCTGCAAAAGGGACAATAGTTTAGCAAACTTTTCAAATTTTGACAACAAATGTAACATCTGACAACAATTTTTTGGGAAAACATTGAATTGCAAATGGTGTTTCTTTAAATAAGTTAAAACTAAAATTACACAACAAGTTGGGTAAGAATATCATCTTGATAGACATTCCAATGATATTGGAATTCTGTGTGTATTTCCTAATTAGTTGGAGTAGATGAAAGAACTATCACATCTGTATTCTCAAAGAAAGGCTGATAGTTTCGAAAGAAACTGTTTGGGGCTGTGTCGGTGGGGGTAACAAAATAACTTGGATGTATCAACAAAGTTGAAGTGGTAAATTGGCCACCATAACGATTACAAAAGAGTTGTAAAATCAACTTCAGTGACATAACAAAGCAAGCTCTTCCCTCAATATGTATATTACAATTTTTTCATTGTATTTCAAAGAATAAACACTTAAGTTCCCAAGTAACTGAAATATGTAAAACTATAACAGCAAGTGCTAGTCATCATTCTTCTCTGATCTAATTTTATTTTTTAACAACCTGTAAATCATTTTCACTCTTCACTAGAAGTAACTTACTATCTCTCCAGCCAGAACCATATTTTCTCCTCTTATAAGAAATATGCCTCTGGGAATATCCCCATACTTTCCTCCCACATGAATTCTCTCGATGGTGTCTTGAAGCAAAAGGTTGGCTGTAAAATTATCAGTGTATATCAACATTAAAACTCACATCACAGTGACTTCAACTGTGACAAAATCAAACTGATCACTGAAGTGGGAACTAAGGCTTCCCTATTAAAACACCTCATTTTTCAGATTCCCCAACTTACCTCAATTTTAAAAACAGCTGCAAGGGAGACTACAATTACCACTGCTTTGCTGGATTTTCAAAGTCTAACACAAAAATTATCTTTATCCCTTCCTTCTACAGAAGAAAAGCCCTTTCAATGGCAGATATACATGCTAACATGACCCTATACAACAATACAGCCCTTTTTTTTTTTCCTGGTAGCACTACCACCATGACATCGGGATCTGATTAAGTTGTTATTCTAAAATAGAATATCAACACAACTGTATGCAACAACAGCTGTCAGATGTAGATTACAACCAGGGCCTAAGGCACTACTATTGTTTACACCATTTTAGGGCACGCCATAAACATACATCTTAGGCATTTTAATATTCTTTCAGGCAAGAAGTACGATTACATGTTTAATTTCACTCTAGCCAGTATACTGACCAAATTGATCTATAGACCTCAGATATCCAATGAGTGTTCTTCCATCCCTCAGCAGAACCATAAGTCTCTCTGTTCAAAAGTAGCATAATGTTAGTTTAGAGAGAAAAGTTTCTGTTTGTCCCTCTTGCATATGCCAGAGAATATTAGAAGTGCCACTTGTGTAAACGAAAAACGTAAGCTTGGAATCTTTTTTGAAAAAATAATAGCGAAATTCTGATTAAAATCGAAATTCTGAGTAAAATTAAAATTGCAAGCTTCAAGTTTATGGAGGCACAAGCAATAAATTTGTTGATATTAAATAGAGAATCGAGGACACAAGACTAGAATTAAATAACACAGATTAAAAAAAGATAGCCACGACAGGAAATTAGAAAAAACAATATCGTACTATCTATCTCTTTGATGAGACTTGCTGTCCCAGGAAGGAAGCTCATAATTGAGGTATATTGAAGGATTTTAGCTTCAAAATCAACAAGAATTCACAATGCGAAAACGGACCAACACTAGTCAGGCAATCTCCAATGCGCGCAAAGACTGGTGTCCACTGTAGCTATCATTCCAAATATGGTGACTTTTCACGCGCACGACGTTGACAAACGCGTGACAGGCGTGCAGCAAGTGAAAAATGATCACCTGATATTTGACACCTGTATGGATGCCAAACCGCCACTTCCGTCCGGATCAAAATACAAAACTATCCGTTCGGAATATATTTGATCAAAGTTCAAACTCCAGCAGAGAGAGAAAGGTTATTTTTGTGCTTTATAAAAGAAATTTTCCTTACGAGAAGAAACACTTTAATTTGCCTTTAAGATGGCCACTAGACAAAGAGAGAAAATGGATTTCTCGTTCTCCTTTTTCGAGGAGCCTCTTCAAATTGGAGTTGTTTTCATGATGACTGGATTGTTCATCTTCGGACACACGATCGGAATACTCCTCTCATTTTACATTCTCCTTACTCCAGTCTACGGTTTCATGGTCATTTATTTGTTCTGGACTTATTTCTTTGATTTGAAAACATCTTCCAAAGGAGGAAGGAGGTCCGAGACATTTCGCAAGCTGAAAAGCTGGGAGTATTTTCGAGACTACTTTCCCGCGCGACTTGTCAGAACAAAGCGGTTGGATCCAAGAAAGAACTACATTCTCGGATACCATCCTCATGGAATCATGTGTGCGGGAGCGTGGGTTAATTTTGCCACTGAAGCCACCGGATTCAGTAGACTCTTTCCGGGCATAAAATCACATCTTCTCACCCTAACTTGTAAGTAACACGAAAGTTGCAGTAAATTTTCTTGATAGTGTGACAGGTTCTCTTGCTCCTTGCCAGATTTCGTGGCTCTTGCCAGATTTTCTTTATCCTCGGAAATGATTAACCAACTAAATAGACAGGCAAAGAGCATGAAAAGTTAACCTCAAGTTAAATTGTAAAGCTTAATTGTTTCAGCAGATATTCTCCAACGAATCATCATGGAGAAGGGGACAATTCCTGATCACTTCATGGTAGAGAAATTCTATCTTAAATTTCTGTTTGTTTCAAGGGTTGTTTCCCAGTTTGCCTAAATTAGCTAAAATTTAGACAACGTTGTTTTCAAAATTTTAGTTTTTAATGCAACCAAAATGTGTAACTACATGTTGTCAATTCCTTGCTGTCCAGTTTTCGTTTTCACTACGTAATACCTCAAAAGAGGAAACAAGATTAACTTTTGAGAGGGAAATCCCATATTTGCATACTAAGTACTATTTTAGTATTCAAGTTACATTCATCTTAGGTAACCTTTTTTTTTTCGTTTGAGAATTTAAACTTCTATCAATATATGATTGTACAGTGCAAAGTTAAGCTTTGCTGTCTATGACTTTGTAAATATAAATTTTTTTTCCAAAATACTGCCTCACCTCACGTCTTAATCATTCAGTGGGTGTCATTAGATAGAAGCGTGCCTGTTATTCTAAGGACATACCTGTATCATATTATGGAATTCTACACCTCAATGGTTTCTATTATGTAATTGCATCACGTTTGCGCCATCGTTTTTATTGTTTATAAATTTAATCTAATTTTTTTTTTAGTGATGTTCAAATTTCCACTGTGGAGAGACTTTGTAATGGCAGGTGGGGTTTGTGATGTCTCTAAAGAAAGTATTCGTCATATAGTGACTAAGCAGGGGACTGGAAATGCTGCAGTGATTGTGATTGGTGGAGCAGCAGAGTCTCTTGATGCCCGCCCTGGATCTTACACTCTGACCCTGAGAAACAGGAAAGGATTTGCTAAATTGGCCCTACAGACAGGGTAAGAGGATGAAAAAAATTGGACTTAAGTTTCAAAGCCTTTAGATCTTCATACCATGCAGCACATTTAAGTTAAGGCTTACCAAGCTTAAATGTACATGTAGACCTGATTTAAGATTAAATGGTTTCTTCAACAGAAATTCGTGTAGACTGTCTCTGTTTCACTGTTTAAGTCAGGTTGGGTAGTGGCATGCTCTATTTCATAGTTTCCGAGTGCATTTTTTTTTAATCAACAAATGACAAATGACATTTGCAAACTCAGAAAGTGATACCAGGGAATTCAAGACTGAGCTACTAGTAGAAGTAATGTTGAACAGTGGGTTATAATAAGAAGTGGTGGTAAAAGATGTCTCGGTTTTGAAGTTGTCAATCATTTACCTGAAACAAAGTCTCCATTATTTTAAGAATTTTGTGAAACCAAAAAAAACAAGGTTCTTTACTCGGAATTTTCACAAATCTCAGAGTACAAAAGTACAAGGTTTGAGTTGAGGACTTTGAAAAGAGGTCATCCCAATTGAATGACAAGATCTGCTAAGAATGAGGAAAAATATCACGAGTGGGTTGGTGGGTGGGTGGGTGCTCTGTTTAGATGTTCACATCTCCTTGGTTCCTTATTTCTATTTCCACCTTTGTTTGCCTTTTTTTTAGAGCATATCTTGTTCCTGTGTTTTCCTTTGGTGAAAATGAAATATTTAATCAAGTCGACAACCCAAGAGGTTCAAGACTGCGAGCTTTTCAAAACAGGCTGATGAAAATACTGTCCTTTGCACCGCCACTGTTTTTTGGGAGAGGAATCTCACGCATGTTGCCCACGTTTATGCCATACAAAAGACCAATATGTACTGTAGGTAAGTGTGAATTACTAGAAGATGAGGATAGTCAGATAGATGTCTGGATTTGGGCCAAAATTGATCTGAATAGACAAAAATTTTGTTTGGAAGTTAAGTTGCATGTCTTTTAATTTGTGCCTTGTTTAAAGGGAAAAGAGAAAGTTAAGAACTGTCCACTGTATAGGCTTGATAATGGCCAACAGCTCTCCTCCCCCACTCTTCTTTTCTTTTCATGAAGACTGGACTTGAGAGAGAGAGAGAGAGAGAGAGAGCGAGCGAGCTGTGGTAACCAAGCCTTAGGGTACTGAAACGTGATGTAGTTCATTCAAGAGATGACAAAACCTATAACTTCCTGTTTCATTATTTAATGATGCAAAAATCCACAAGGACACCCTTACTTATAAGCTCAAGCATAATTTTGAAAAGACAGAATCTTTTATTGTAAGTTTATATATATATGAAACAGTTGAATAAAAGAAACTGCTTTTTTAATTTGATTTTTGATTGTTTTTGTAGTTGGTGCACCTATACCAGTAAAGAAAGCTGTTGCAAATCCAAGTGGACAACAAATAAACAGACTACATAAGAAATACGTTCGGGGACTCATTAACCTTTTTGATGAGCAGAAGCACAGATATGGCCTGCCAAGAAGTGTTAAACTGCGAATTGTGTAGATGGGGATTGTAGAACAGCTGACTATGAGCATAGAGCTCTATTTTCTCTTAAATTAAGTAATATTCTGTAAGGTCTGATATACCAGACTTCATGTCCCTAGAGTAATGTACTCAGCCATCTATCAGTTTTACATGTAAGTTTACATGTGGTCTTGGAGACTGGTGTGTTTGAGTCCAGGATGTCAACATGGTTGTGTTTTCTGTAGTGATGAGTTAATAACACTGCCGGAAAAATAATTATGAACATTGTTTTCCCTCAGTATCCAGAAGAAAGGCCATAGTGACATTCAATTTGACATTCAACTTAGTAGAAGTCAATGGATATATTGTAACCCAGTGTTTTGCAGATACTTTTTTTGCCTCATGAAATTTATATGGCAAAGTAGAAGAAAACATACAGAGAAAGCCAAAATCAAATTAAAATTAGGGTTGTGAACTTTTGAGGGAGAAACCTCTTTCATTATTGTCCCCTTTTTGGCAAATAAGCCTTTAAAATACTTTTGATCTCAATTTACTATTTAAAATATTATATTTGATTTTTATACCAGAAAACCTTTGGTATAGTTTATAACACAAAATTTTGGTTTTGATATAAAGAAGAGTGATCATTAATATATTAAGATTTTTTTTGTCATAGAGTCATATTTGTACAATAAGTTTATTTATATTTGTTCAAGAAAATAAAGAGGTTGAAGGAACGCAGCGGTTACATAATTCTTGACTGGCCCAATTTTCTGGTACAAAGATACGACAACATCTTCCATGGTGGTGGCAGAAAAAATTAGTCCTTCCCCCTTCCCCGCCCCCTTTTAACGTATCGTTTCCAGTACTCGCTCAATTTGACTAACACAACAGTTGTGGGTTTAAATGTCCTAAGCCCCAAATAGGAAAAATATTTTTCTTCTTCAAAAGTGGGAGACCGACAACAGAACTAAGGAAGTTTTAAAGATGATTGCCCTGTGAACATGGAATTTGACATATGACCTTTGAATGTTGTGTGATATTGTGAGCTGTTGCTCTCACTTTTTTCTCAACGGGCTCGCAAACCACGTGCTCATAATCGAGGTTTGATCAAGGTTAGACTTGAAACGTGATACAGCCAGGAGGCTCGCAAAGACCCATGCATATTTGAAGTCATGTGTTTTGATGGGATTGACGTATTCTTTAAACTCTGGACAGAGATCAAAGTAGAAAAATAATAGCCGAGGATCAGAAAATTTTTTCCGCTTCGACTAACGCACCTATAGTCATCAGTCATATACTGCCTGAGGAATTTACGATGCCTTACGTCGAATTCGCTCCGCTTCGCATCCCTTTCCACCGACGTTTGGAAACTGCAGCTGTTGCTCTTTATTATTACTCTTTCTATTTCGGTGCACTTTTAGGAACAGTAATCATCCTTGGCCTGTTTTTCACGTCATATTACCCGATTGCGATGATGTACATAACTTGGGCCTACCTGATCGATGGACGCACTCCCGACCACGGTGGACGGCGATCAGAATTCGTAAGAAAAGCGAGAGTGTGGAAATATTTCAGAGATTATTTTCCGATCAAGCTGATCAAAACAACCGAACTTGATCCAAGCAAAAACTATGTATTTGGTTACCATCCTCATGGTGTTTTGTGCGCGGGAGCATTTTGTAATTTTGCCACCGAAGCTACAAATTTCAGCGGTACCTTTCCCGGAATAACACCACATTTACTACCACTTATGGGTGAGTGAACAACAAGAAAATTATAGCTTAGTGGTCCAGAAAATCACATTCTCGTGATGGGACTTTGAAATGTAACGCAAATTGTTTCGCGTTAATGTTTGCGTGACTAACAGAATGCATATGTCAGGATTGAAATTTGTTATATTATACATGAAAAAAATTCTGATTGGCTGATGACGAGTGCATTTTTCGCGTAACACGAGTGCAAACTTATAACATAATTGCAAAGTTGTGCAAATTATAAAGTAAATTATCAAGTAACCTTATTTCTCGTGCAGTTTATAGTAAATAAGTACTTAGATTTTCGTCTTTGAAAAATTATCCATGTAAACTGCTATTAAAAATGTGAGTGCAATACAATTGCCTCATTTGACAGAAGAACCACAGAAATATGATGATGTTTTTTGTTTTGTTTTTTTTAAGCCTTGTTCAAACCACCGTTATTTCGAGACTACATTATGAGCAGTGGTATGTGCAACGTCACTCGTGAGAGCTGTGAGTACATTCTCACCAAAAAAGGGCCTGGTAACTCAGTAGTGATTGTCGTGGGTGGGGCTGAAGAAGCATTTGATGCCCATCCAGATACTTACACCTTAATCCTGAAACCCAGAAAAGGATTTATCAAGCTTGCACTGAGAACTGGGTGAGTGTACAACAAGATTTCTGTTTGACCCCATTCTCCACTACACATATGGCTCTCTGATAAAAGCCAAGCATTGAAAATATAAATTTCAAAGACCTAACCAAGATGATATGGATTGTAATGTCATAGTTTTAAATTTTTAATTGCCTTAAAAAGAGAAACCGTTGGGCTACATTTTTTACCTTCTCCCTCCTGCAATGAAAGAAATACCAGCTTTTAATGTTTTCTACAACTTGTCTTGCCCTGACCTCTTCCTTCCTATTTCTGCACATTACACTTTCCCAAAGAATTTCATCTTTTTCCTGAAAATAGGATTTCTTTATTTACTACTAAGAGAGACTAAAGATCTCAGAAAGCAAAAACCAAATCCAGTTAGAACTTAATGCTCTCTCACTTGTTGTGTAATCTTTGAAAAGGACTTTTCCCTTTCTGTATTTTTCAGTGCCTCTCTTGTTCCTGTATTTGCTTTTGGAGAAAATGACCTTTTCAATCAAGTGAAAAACCCTCGAGGTTCCAAGCTGCGGGATATTCAACAAAAAATTCAGAAAATGGTTGCATTCGCCCCAGTTCTTTTCTTTGGTCGGGGTATATTCCAATACACATTTGGATTTCTGCCTCACAGAAGACCAGTCAATGTTGTTGGTAAGTTCTTAGTTCCAAAACAGAAAGGTAAAGATTCCCTCATGTCTTCCCATATGACAACCAATCAATACAAAATCCATTAAAAATATTGCTTTTAATTCCTTAGGTTTCTTACATTTACTGTCTTTTTCTTTGTAGTTGGACCTCCTATTCCAGTTACAAAAGTTGCAAACCCAACTCCTGATCATTTGGATGATCTCCACACCATTTACATTGAAAAACTCAAGCAGTTGTTTGAAGAGAACAAAACTAAGTATAATGTTCCTGAATCAACTGAGCTGATAATTTATTGAGAGCATTTACATTATGAGAAATGTTTGATTGAGTAATGTACTAAGTCATCCAAGATTACAAAGGTTTTGCATCTCTGATTAGTAAAGAAATCTTTCTTGGCCTCCAACCCATCAGACACATGACTAGAACTAATCAAGGTGAGTCACTTAGCTTAAAACCTCTGAAATATCTTTGATTTTAATATTTATGAACACCTTAAGAAATTTACCTTCCTTTTGATAGGCTGTTTCCATGAATTAGGTCTCAGTGTCATGACACCCAATCAAAACAATGGTATACAATGAATATTTATCAGTACAACACATTTTTATTTACAACATGGGTTAATTAGTTTCTTAGTTTTGATATGGCACAACACAGAGATCCTCAGATCACCGGCTAATCAAAGAGTCTGGTTTGGCTTGTCAAGTCTGACACAGATTTTCAAAAAGATTTTAGAGGATTCAAATGGTTTTTGATGAAAGACATCACTGAAGTTGTAAAGAAAATTTAGGTGGGGTATTCTTCTTCAATTTCCAGCTGTCATTTGGGCCTGTCACGCAACACACTTCCAGTGGTGGACTAAGTTTTTTGCGTGACATGCTTATACAACTGCTGCAATGATTGGTGGATATGCTCTAAAACTGCCAGATTTATCTATTCAATTCAATACCGATATTTCACGAAACTCAGAATGAACATTCACGCATAGTACTGGTTTCTGGTCATGCTTGATCCAGGACCCCTCATTGGAGTGAAAACCGTACTAATAGACAGCTCACTATCAAACAGGAAAATGCCAAAAATTGAATTTTTTTTGCCTTCAGCTGTTTGTGCTCTTAACCAAAAATATCTCAAGTGTCAGTGAGAGATTTTTCTAATTTTTCAATAGAATTGATTACAGAAGTGAGCAAATTTGCTTAAGGCTATAGAAATTCATTCAGACCCCCTTTTGTAACAGTTTTTTTTTTTTAGATTTTAACCAACCTACAGCTTACCTAACAGGCACTAGAAAACAAAAACTTGAGTGCGAGGTTTTTCAAGCGCATGTAGACAAGAAGGGGGCGCCAGAGGAGATCAGGAGCTCAATCTCCTGCTTTTCTCTTCAACGTGCTCCCTGATAACTGCACTTTTGTTACTCTAGCACCTGTTACCCAGGCTAATTTTTAGTGTAATTTTTACATATTTTTACGAAGGTTATTTTTCAGTAGAAGACAAGCAAATGTAGAGGTGAAAAATTATACAGACTGAGGTTACCCAATTGAATTTGTTCACGGTTTTTAAAGTTCAGTTTTTAGCTTTCGAGCTGGTCACTGATACTGACTTACAAAAGAAGAAACCGTTAAAACATATTCTTGTCTCTCGGGGAGAAAAACAGTAATTTAAAAAGTGGAAGTAAGTTGTGGAAAATACTTGCGAGGTTAGATATCATAAATAAAACAATTTTCGACCCTCTTTGATGATGATTGTCATACTTCGCTTTTGTTTATGTAATTACTAGCTATTGGTGCCTTCATGATAATCCGTCCAAACTTTTGCTTTATTTTTGTTTAATTGTCAACTAGTACCGCTCTCCAGTTCTGCTGAACTTCTTTGTAGACTTTCAACAGTTCTTTGTCTCACAATTAACTACAAATGCATTTTCTGGAGTGTTTCATATTTAACAATTATTCGCCGAAGGCGAGGTGAATATCGTCGAATAATCTCCGAGACGAAGTCGACACCGAACCTGAGGGGCGAATAATTGTTTTAGAAATTTCTAAAATCATAACATTTTATTTTAACATTTTATATAAACCGCGTGGAGCGGTTTATTTCGCGTCGTATAAGAAACCGCTCGACCAATCAGATTGCTGGAAACTCTTTGCTCAGCTCTAAAATTGTACTAATTTTAGATATCCCTCAAAGAGTAGCATGGCAAATAGATTAGCCACAGCCTTTTTCAGGGGATTACGAGGCGGAAAATTTGCAAGTACAATAGGAATATTGAAAAAAAATCTTGGAAACCAGAAACTGACCATCGCGAGCAAGATCAGTATCAGTCGTGGTTCTTTCAGTTGTCTTGCCGGCTACAGAATGGTACTTTCACCTCAAGGTGCATCTAATTTGACAACAGAATTTAGTTTATCTTATATTCGGGATCAAAAGTAAGTGGATCATCAATATAAGTTAATAAATCCTGGGTTGGATACAGAGGTGGTTCGGTCGAACCCCCTACACCGGACTGAAAAACATCTAAACACGTGCAAATTTTTTTGTTACCATAGTTGGCAGTAATGTCACAATCGGATTGGCAACTTTGCCGTTGTCGATGAGTACAGACAACGCTGCTCGCGTAAACGTGTCACGCAACGTGTCACTCACTAATAATAATGATAATTTACCAATTTATATAGCGCGTATTTACATATGGTAATCATAGCGCTTTACAATCATATGTTTAGGAGAAAGCGAAAATGCATTACTGTGAGAATAAAATGAACTAAGTTACACTGAAAGAATCGTTTTATTTGACGAAGTGATAAAAAAACAAATCGACAGTGGTTTAGCTAGGTCTTACGCTGCGAGCAGAGGCTTCTTCGATCTTGGAAGATCGAAGGGACCTCTGCAGGGTAGCTAGGTCTGTGCTCTCATCGAAAACGATATTAATCATCACGGCGGGGGTCAAAAATCGCCGAGAGAGTCCGCAACATTTTGCTGCGCCTCGTGTGTCCACAACATTTGACCAGTGCCGTGATGACAAACATCGTTGTCGATAAGAGTTCGGACCACGCTAAACCACTGTCAATTTGTTGAGTTTTTTTTTTTTTTTTCTACAATTACCACTTAAAACACTGGAAATACAATTTTTGAAGACCTTTAATTCAACATTCTTGGCAGGGGCATCCCTCTAACCCCCCTCTAGGATTGTCCAGCTTTCGGAAGACATTTATCTAAACCCCCTTCACTAAGTTCCAGATGCGCCTTACACGCAGCTAGTCGACTTGATCCGAAGACGAAAGGCAGCAAGGAGCAGTAAATCCTCGCTTAAAAGTGTACCTGAAAACTATCTTTCTCCAAATCAATACAATTACATATGGATTTAATGATAATCTTATTATTTGAATATATCAACAAAGCTGAAATGGTAAATTGGCCACCGTTACAGTTATAAAAGCTGACGTTTCAAGCGTTAGCCCTTCGTCGGATGATTTGGTTTAGATAGATAATAATCTTTAGATAGGGTGCGTTCTCACAGAAGTGGTTTTCAGAACTGCCCTGTAAGCAACCACCCAACCCACCCCGGGGAGGACATCCATCACACAGTATACTCGTGCATGGGAAATTAACGTCCCCTACCCCTAACCCTGCAGGAGACGGGAACTCCGTTTATTCGTCCCTATCCGAGAAGACTAGAATATCTAACCATTTCTTGATGTTACAGAAAGGAAGCATATTCTTCTCAGTTATTTTAAGACCCTGAGTTTTGGTCTGGCCGGGGCTCGAACCATCGACCTCCCGCACAACAGTCCAGCGCTCTATCCATTGAGCTACCTGGGAGGCGGTTAGTTAGTGGAAAAGAAAATCGCAAAATTAGTTCCCAACCGAAATCTCGGTCATCTTGACCTGCTAAAAGTTGTCCCTTTAAAAGAAAAAAAAAATAAAAACTCGCCAACCCGCCATATCAAAAACTCCCGCAAAACTTTCGTGATTTGGTTTATGTGGAAGGTTCGACAACTGTCACGAAAGAAACTCTGAAACAACATTTGATTGGTTCAATTCTTGCCATCTAACCAATCAGGTAAAGATCTAATAAATTATTTTTGTTTTGACCAATCAGTACTCACATTGAGAGTTGAGTAAGTCTGCAAGATGATCCGGTGATGTCGAAGCAAAAGCTTGATCCAAATTCTGAGAAAAAGCCACTCCTTTGTCCACAACTTCAAGCACACGTTTGCTGCTCGCATCAAAAGATGTCCTTGTAAACTGCTTGATCATGGAACACACTGGAAGATTTGCCTTTTTGCTCGTATTCCTTATGTGCGTACATAAGACAGTATGTACTCATTTTCGAGGCGGTTCATTTACCTACAAGCCCCTCAACTCGAGCAATCCTGCAAGCATGAAGGTAAGAGTTCCAAGTACACAGCTCTTCAATCTGCTACTTCTCTCACACTATGATTCGTACCTTCATGACAAATCTGATAAGATTTCGTCATTTAAGGGAGGAGAACGCTTTCTGAAAGCCAAATCAATCCACCCTGCTCGTCGAGGCGAAATATCCTCAAACAGTTGAGTTTTTGAAAAATATGGAAAGTCAAATTTCCTCCCGCTCGGAGGGTCAGTTGGTAGTAGCATCAACTACCCAATGACGAAACCTGAATTACCCAGGCTTCTTTGTCTGCAGTTTTTTTTCAGTTGCAGTCTAGTCACCATAGAGCATCACTTTGTTGTTTGTTATTAGTTCACGCGCCAAAAATAAACTCATTTCTAGAATTCGCGTAGTAATATTCAGCTTTTCCTTACAAAACCTCCTATGTGAACAAAAACAGTCGAATGTCACAGTTGACTGCCGTGACTACCTTATATTCTTGTTGGATCGAAACCAAATTACTTTAGTCAGTATATACAATATTTACCCAGTGCTTATCATCTTAATTTTGGGAATGTAACAATCTACTGACATGGTGACTCAGTGGCGAATCTGACCCCTTTTTCTCGGAACTTATATGTTGTTCACGTTTAAAGGCATGATCATGTCTGCGATCAATAGTAAACTAACTCTGCAAAATTACTCACATTTCCAAATGCAAGGGAAAGAGGACAAATTGCTTGCGTCAATTTATACAAGGCAATTCTCCAGAGGCTTTCATCTTAGCTTCAGAATGAAACAATCTGCCGAGTGATGAAGTAACTCGTGGGTGATTGACGACTCCTTAGTTCTCGGAATTTTAGCCTTCTTCATGCTTAAGACAACTTCATGTCTGCGAATAAAAGTAAAGTATGTCTGCAACGTTACTCACATTTCCAAATCTAGAGGAAAGGAGACAATTTACTTTAACCTAACCCTAACCCTAAGAAATTTCGTCAGAGCCTTTCATCTAACTTTGAAATAAAACAATCTGGTGAGGACGGTAACTCGAACGTGATTTATGATTCCTTCTCGGAATTTTGATATGTTCATGCTTTAACTGTATAGGTTCGTGTCAGCGAGCAATAAATAATTAGCTGTCTATAACATTACCCACTTACCGTATTTCCAAATCTAAGAGGAAGAAACCAAATTAATTGAGCAAGTTCACCAAGTATTTCCTCAGGAGCTGCCATCTTAACTTTGAAATGAAACGATCTAATGGTGAATAAACCGGAGGCGAATCATAAATGATTCCTCCCCAGAATTTAATTAAAGTTTATGCTCCGCAATGAATCGTTGAATCGTTCATGTCAACGAACGATAATCAACTATATTTATAACATTACTCACTGTATGTATTTCCAAATCTTAGGGGAAGAAACCAAATTGCTTGAGTTAGTATAAGCATCATTTCCTGACAGCTTATCATCTTGACTTTGGGAAGAAACGATCTGCTAATAAAGTAGCTCTTGGCGAATCATGTCCCCTTTTTTCTCGGAATTTAGATATTGTTCATCAGCTAAAACCAGGTTCGTGTCTGCGAACAGAGGTAAAATACGTCTGCAACACTACTCACCTTTCCAAATCTAAGGGAAAGAAAAAAATTACTCAAGTAGAGTCAGTTTATACAGCAATTCTTTAGAGCCTTTTAACTTAACTTTGAAATGAAACAATCTGAAAGTTGATGAAGGAACTCAAAGGCGATTTATGATTCCTTCTCGGAATTTAAATATTGTCTCCAGCTTAACTTGAGACGTACAAGTTCATGTCAGCGAGCAGTAAATAAATGATAAACTGTCTGAAACATAACTCACTTACCGTATTTTCAAATCTAAGGGGAAGAAACCAAATTACTTGAGTCAGTTTGAAAAGTATTTCCTGAGTGTCTGCCATCTTAACTTTGAAACGAAACGATCTGGTGGTGGAGTAACTCGGAGGCGAATATTGACTCCTTCTCGGAATTTTAAATATTAGTAATACTTGAATAAAGGTTTTCGTCAGCGAACAGTAATCAACTATAAAGGCTGATAGTTTCTAAAGAAACTGTTTGGGGCTGCGTCGGGGGGGTAAAGAAATAATTTGGATACATCAACAAAGTTGAAATGGTAAATTGGCCACCGTAACGATTACAAAAGCTGACGTTTCGAGCGTTAGCCATTCGCTCCGACGAAGGGCTAACGCTCGAAACGTCAGCTTTTGTAATCGTTACGGTGGCCAATTTACCATTTCAACTTTGTTGATATATCCAAAGTAATCAACTATGTTTATAACATTGTTGGCTTAACGTATTTCCAAATCTTAGGAGAAGAAACCAAATAACTTGAGTCCGGCAATAAATAGAGCATTTCCTGACAGCCTATTATCATAACTTTGGGATAAAACGATCTGGTCATAAAATAACTCGGGGCGAATCATGACCCCTTTTTTCTCAGAAACTAGAAAGTATTCAAGCTTAAAAGTATAAGCGTTATTTGAATTACATGCTTATTAAATGTGCATGGCTTATTCGCCGCCTTCCCAAATTTTGAGGGAAAGAAACTTCGATGACTTCAGACACGTGCAAGGCTAGTTTGCCAAGTAATGACATCGAGTAGAAGTGGAAAATGTTCGGAACTTCGCAGCTTTTCTCGCAGATCTTTGCTCCAGCAGTGAATTTATCGATATCACCTAGCTTATGGAAGTCTTGATTCGGCAGCACACCGAACAGTTTTCCTAGAAACTACCAACTTTTCTCACCTCGCAAGCTTTGAGGGAGAGAGCAGTATGAAACTGCTCAGAGGTGAAATATTATCCAAGTAATAAGCAAAGTAAGAACGAAAGCCACACAAAGTTGGAGAGGCTAATGCCCGGTTTTAGAAAGAGAAATTTCCTTATTCTTCTGAGGTAGTTATCTATGAAAGTGCCCTATCGATGCGCTTAGAGCTTCTAACTAATAATGTATCTTCATCTGACTACACCACTTTCCAATTACAGCACACTTATTTTAAACATGTACCTCATCATGGTTCTGATATCGAAAATTTTAAAAAAAACCTCGGCGATTATGCCACCATTATGTTCAAAAAGGAAACCAAACAAACACGCAGCCCAGCTATGTTACTAACACGTATTCCTCGAAAGTTCTCGTGAGCCTGACGTGATTCACTTCACAGAATTCAAAATGTATTTCGGTCCCTTACAAGTGGCCTGGTGAAGTATGTTTGTTATTTCGGTGATAACATTTCGGTTGCTCTTCAAAAGCAAATATTGAGCTAGTGATCACACTGAAATATTGCAATGAAGAGATATGCTCTTTGCGTTTCGCTTGCTGTCTGCTTTTTCCTTTCCATCCTTATAGACCTTGTACAGCTACCAAATAGAATATCCCCCCATCAGTCTCAATTAATCAATATCAATTAATTATCTCACATATGTTAAGGTATGGCCTTTTTCTTAAGACCCTACATGAATTTTTACCGTTTTTTCTGTAGAAACATGCTTCCTTTGAACTTAAGAATGCCAAACATACACAACAAAAGCAATTTAGTTATGATCAGCAGAGGAAGTCTAAAATCTCACACAATTATCGTAAAGAATGGGGCACTAAGAACCCGGCGTTGTAGTCTGTATTTTGTTTATTGTACTGTCATTTTTCCTATTGAGCAAAACGGCACCCTCGCAAATTATTTCGGTGCAAGGTTTTGCAGCTTGATTTCCCGCGTTTTTATTTCGTGGGGGGTCAGGGAACTGTAGAGATGGTGGGTCGATACCACATACCACTTTTTCGAATCAAAATACAATACCGATATTTTCGGCGGAACGGGCCTTTATCGGTGATATTGCACCGACGGCCGACGTTAATACTATGACGTCACATACTTAGTTGCTCATCACGTGATTAGTTTCAATAAAAAAAGAAAGGCTGTCATCTCCTAAGCAATCACCTTTGTCACAGGATAAAGTGATTATTTAGGGAGACAACAGAAAAAATCAAATAGAAGTATACGCGTTAAAATAATGGTAGGCGAATATACAAATAATTACATTTCCCTCGACTGGTTTACATGTTTGCCAAGTCCGTTGTGAAAGGAATGTTTTGATGTGACACATACAATTTTTCATTTAAAAAGTTTTGGAAAAAGACTTTGAACTCAAACACTTGCTCAAGAAAGAGTTGCAGTGACTTTTTGAGCCTTCAGAAGACGATAAAAAAATTGAAATTCAATGACATAAATTCTTTTAAATTTCAAATACAGTGCTCACACATTGCATGGTCTAACTCCCAGATCTAACTGTGTATTCCGCAATCTGTTCACATTTGCTCCTTTCTGCCAGACAGTAAGTAAATTTGGACAAAAACAGCATTGCTATTTTATTTTTCGAGAGATAACCTAAAACAATTTCATCAAAAAGACAACGACCATTTTAACTAGAGGAGCGAACTCCACGAGAAACTGAGGATTCCGTGATGNAATCAGGCCTGTACGGGACTCGAACCACTGACCTCTGCGATACTAGTCTTACTTTTGAACCAAATTATTTCGGCATCTAGTAAAACATGGACTGGATTGGATTAGTAAAACATGGATTGGATTAGTAAAATATGGATTGTTTTAGTAAAACATGGATTAGTAAAACATGGATTGGTAAAATGAACGCTAAAATAGGGCGAGTTACATTTTATCTTACTTTTAGTAGTATTTTATCTTACTTTTTTACTCTTACTTTTCAACCAAATAGTTTCGCACAAAATAGACAGTTCATTTAAATACTGATGTTATCTTTGCCCACCCGCAGGCGGTTTCAATCGAAACAACATTCCTTTACCATTGTTTTATTTGCGTAGTCGTGTACGGTTACTCAAGCGCCACGTTATTGTCGCTTTTGGTTTTTTGTCAGCACAGTTCATTTCACAACTGTCAGTTTCCACGAACATAAAACAATGGTAAAGGAATGTTGTTTCCGATTGAAACCGCCTGCGGGTGATGTCTATTTTGTGCGAAATAATTTGGTTGAAAAGTGAGTAAAAGAGTACGATAAAATACTACTAAAAGTAAGATGAAATTTAACTCGCCCTATTTAGCGTTAATTTTACTATTCCATGTTTTACTAATCCAATCCAGTCCATGATTTACTAGATGCCCTGAAATTGTTTATTTTAGTTAATGTGACAGACAGCTTTACGTGGTGGCCAGCCCAACTGAAAACAGATCTTTTCGATGAGCAATTATTTTCCGCTCTTTTTCTATATAGGTCGGTTATTTCCGTGTTGGTGTTTGAATGGTCAGTCGAATATTGGAGGAAAACTTTTTACAGTCAAACGAAGTGAAGCGTACCGCTCACGCACTACATTAATGAATTGATTATTTGATTATTTAACCCAATAGTCGTTTTTAAGACTACAGTTTTTCACTGATTTTTCGCGCGACAGACTGAGCCGAAATGGACTGAAGAACTACTCGTAGTCCGGGAGGGGAAGTAGCAGACAGCAAGCGAAACACAAAGAGCATATCTGTTCATTGCAATAATTCAGTGTGATCACACGCCCAATATCTTCTTTTGAAGTGAACCAGAAAATTTTATTACCGAAATAACAACATACTTACCACTTGTAAGGGAGACAGATAGATTTTGAATTATTTTTTTAACAATTTTATTTCAGAACCATGACGAGTAATCTTGAGGGGTAATCTAGACTTCACTTGGTTTGACTGTCATTAAGCTTTCGTTAAGCCTGAGTGGTTTTCATTAGCGACGCAAGTACAAGCTGATGAAGGACAACTCTTATTTCATTATGAAAACAGGCTCGACGAAGCCATAAACACAAAGGCAAACACAAATTCAAGGATCGAAATGTTTCCTTTTACTTGTGCTTGACGTATGTTTTCTCCTGGTATAGTTACTTCAAGTTGTGGTTGAACATGTGTAAGTGGGCAAGGAGCTTCAATCGATCTAAGGCGCAGAGCTCTAAACGGCCGATCCGTTTGTTACGACCTGGAAATGTTTCTGTATCCCCCTTTAAGTTAGCCTGGATGGTGAGGATTTAAGGAACAAAACAGTAATTTCATATCTTGTTGCTGAGAGGAAACTCCCTGCACAAATATTGTAATTCATTTTGGAGCCCAACCAGCTTACCGTGGTGCTTTCGGGTTTGCTTGAGTTCAAAGGCTTGTACGTGATTGATCCGCCTCGAAAATGTGTGCATTTTGTACTGATTACTTGTATCAACGACACATACACGAGGAGAAACTTCCCAGCGATTTCCATGCTGATAAGAACACGTAACAACGGAGATAAGCTTTCTTTGTATAAGTAGGGGAGGGGCGATTTCTCATAAATTTACCCAGGAATGACTCGGGCCATGGAGCATTTTAAGGGATGGCTTATGTCCTAATTTGCATAACTTAAAAAATAATAACTTTTCAGCCGTTTAGGGTTTAGGGGGCCACCGTTACTTCTCAGAATGCTAGGTCATTTGTAGATGTTATCTCAAATGCAAAACATTTTTCCCAGTTCTTGTAAGACACTAAAGTTGCTTTGGCCTGGGGCTTGTACCCGCGCCCCTGAACGAACCCCGAACACTCCGGCGCTAAACCAACTGAGCCAACCAGTAGGCATGTTTTAAACAAATGTTGTAGCAATTATTTCCATTTTCAGGTAATAATAACATTCCGGATTGGTTGGCGAAGATCGTACTCTGGGTCCACATTCTGTACGCAAAATACAATAGATTCTGGTCAGCTGATCGGGATCAAGGACTACTTAATGTGCAGATCTGGCTGCTACGGCCGCGTCGGGTTGCTAACCTTTAAATGCTCGGATTTCAGTGTGAATGAGGACTGGACAACTGGCACTAACAGCTTTGAATATACGTTTCCAGTCACACCATCTCGCTTTTATGAAGTCAGGTTTGTTATCATTATACATTAAATTTATTATCGGGGAGACCTGAGGAGCTTTTCCGGGTCCAGATTAATCAGTGAGGGAGGCGGTTATTAAAAACTTGAAGTGCAAGACGGGGGGGGTTCAAAGAGGGGAGGGGCGCTGCTTGATGGAAGGGAGGAGGGGGGAGGACGAATTGTCAGGAGTTTACCAAATACAGAATCAGATACTGATCAGAGTGCATTCCGATTGAATGTCGTGGAATCTAAAACAAATTAATTATCGTTAGCACCCGATCAGAACAGAGGTAAAAATCAAAGGAGCCAATAAGGAATCAAGTAAACTTCTGGAAGGGCGAGAAAACATAAATGCACTTGACTGGTTTGTAGGAAAGCGCTAATTATGTAGACCAATCAGAGCGAAGTTGAACCAAAATTACAAACAAAAATGCAATCTAGATATAGAAAATTATTTTTTTGCAGCTACTCAGGTTGGAACTGGATTGCTTTGGTGCATGCATCAGGGGCTTCATGGGAAGTTCGAATGTACGTTAACCTCACTCGAAGAAATGACACTGGACGTTTAAATACGTCGCCAGTGGCGACAATGACACCAATTGTTCGTTTAAAATACGGCTGTAACCATTCTATTGCTATTCCAGGTATATATACCTCAGAGAATCTCAAATGCAAGTTCAACAAGTTTTCTTACCCCAGTCACAACTCCCCTCTTTTTTACCTTGATGTTGTTTTGTCATTCTATCTTTGTTCTTTTTCATCTTCTTCTCTTGTTTTTCTTGTTCTCGATTTTCCTCTTTTTTTTTTTCTATAGCCATCCCTTTTTTGTTCGTTTTGGGAAACTTTGGTTTTCATTATGATTTCTTATCTTGTTATGCATGATACTTTTCAAAACATCATTGTTTTTTTACTTACATCTTCTCCAATGCTAAAACTATATTTTACATTTTTGTTGTCAAGTGTCCGACGATGACAAAGACGAGGTGCGATGCCGTTGGGCGAAGAGTAACGATAGAGAGTGTGGTGGAATATGTGCAGGAAACGGGTTACCAAACGCACAAATGTATCATGTACGCCAAAAAACCATCATCATATCCCTTCTTCAAAAAAGCTTTTGTGTGATCATTTTATTAAGCCTTTAAGCCTCTCCTTGTGTCCAATCTCAGTAGTATCAGTTATAGCATTAGGACAATTTATAATCTCCCACAAAATGGAGCTGGAAATCGAGGCGTTACAAAAAACAAAGGATATTTTCGCATATCGGGAAGCAGTGCCCTTTGAAAAATGTAGCCTCTCCCTTGGTTAACATAGGGTTACCCATTCTTTCTTATATTTTGCACCTTTTCCTTTGACACATTTCCTGTTTATGTCGATACAGCGCGAGTGCAGAATCCCATACAGCGCAACGGAATACATGGGCTTTTACGCCGTTGCTGCCATGATCGAAGATTTTGCCTCACCAACAGACTCACAGCCATTGAGTAGTATCCCATTGCAGTTCTTGGTGTACGTGTTCAACTCGAATGAACCGTGTGATGAACGCCCGGAGTTCCCAGAATACACGCGAGCCGAGGGATCGTGCATTGGCATCCCACCTGGGGGAACATACTTTGATCGCATCATCGTGCGAGCCGGTGGACTGTCAAAAAGGTGCAGTTCATTTGTTTATGAATTATGTGCAACGATCGTGGAAGCAGAGCTAAGATGTATTTGTGAGTAAATGCAATTTATGTTAAGGCTCTATACACCCATAGAGTCTTATTCAATCAAAAAATTCAATCCGTCATTTCAATCAGTGAAAGATTCTGAACTTAATTGTTCGGGGACAAGATGCAATGACCACATGACTATACTTAACTGTGGTAATACATCAGAAAGCCGGAACGCGGCTCAGAGAGCACTCGATTTCGATCCTTACTTTGTAGTATCACCTCAATAATTTTCCCCGCTATGATTGTTGCACTATACTTCTTCAAATAAGCGCCCACGTTCTGATAAGCCCCCACCCCCTAAGCCATTGTATCAAACAAGCGCCACCTCCCCTTCTCACTCTCACTTTCTTCAATAGTACTGAAAGAAGAAAAACCTGTTTCTATCGCCACTTCCTTCATAACTTTTTAAACTTCAACTACAGCGGAGCCAGTACAGGTTAATAGTTTCTCGATCAGCGCCCCCCTTGATTAAGTGCTCGACTTCCAATAGGTGCTTTCTTTTAAACAAAAGTTTTAAATAAGCGCCCGGGTCCTTATTTCAGGAAATACATTATTACATTACGTGAGAAGAAAAAAAAAGTGTAGCTTTTTCTTGGCCTTAGGTAATGGCCTTTGCGGCTTTGTTTAGGGCGTTGGCTGATTCTTAATTGTCAACTTACCTGAAAGTTTTCTTACAAACTTCTCATCCCTTTCTCCAGAATTGTGGAAGTCACTACTAACAGTCCTCAGGGATTCATCAAGTCTCCTGTGGCTCAGTATGCACCACAGGAATACTACGTTAATGTTACCTGGACACCGAAGTCATCAGAGATAGAGACCAAACTATTTTGTTTCACAGGATTGGAGGATTCTGGGTATTCATATAATTGGTCTATTTGTTTTGTATTTAGAGTTAAACAGAAAACAGTGTACATATTATTAAAAGAAAGACACAAGATTTCACCCTTTACCCCCTAGCACCAGAATGCAAGTTTTCCATACTGTTGTTTACACATTCCTTGTATACTTACAAGAAGAAAAGTCAAGCAATTTTAAGTGACTTGTAGAATGTTAGAAATCAATTGTATTTCAATGTTGTGTCTAGGGGAACAACTGAACAGAGATGCGTCAATCTACTTGTTGGAGGTAAAAGTCATCTTATTTCATCTATGTGACTAGGAGTAAAGCAGTTTTGAAAGTCCAGGTCTCTTAAGTTCTAATTCAGTGAGCTTGATTAACCTGATTGGCCTGCTGGAATTTCCCGAACAACCTGCGTAGCGTACTTGAATTTCCCGATTAATCTCATTGGCCTATTGGAATTTCCCGTTTAACCTGATCGGCCAAATTGAATTTCCCGATTATCATGATGGGCCTACTGGAATTACCCGATTAACTTAATTGGCCTACCGACATTTCCGTCATCACCCCTCGCTTCTTTTGAAACAGGCTATCGAGTCCTTTATTCATTTCGTGACACTGAGACTGGCTTCGAACAGGGCCGTAGCTAGCACGAGGCAAAACGAGGCAATTGCCTCGTCTTAATTTTGGCCTTTTTTCATTTTTTTCTTAAAGATTTACTTTTCTGAAGAAAAATGCCACGGAAAATCCTTAAAAGAGCATTTCTAACCTCTAGATTTCGAAGTTTTCTGGGGGGGGGGCATACCCCCACACCCCTCTAGCGGCTTGCGCCTTCGGCGCTCGAAACTTGCCTCGTCTTGTCCTGAAATCTGGCTACAGCCCAGGCTTCGAAATTACTTTTTTCACGGGGAAAATGGTTCCACTGCAGTTTGCGTGG